TATATATATATATATATATATATATATATATAAACGAGCAGAATACCAGCGAACAGAGGCACACCAAACCCTAAAAATATAAACCTCGATTCCATGGTGCAGCAGCCTCACCCTAAACCGCAGCCGTAAACAGCTAGCTGTAAACTCCAGTTCTTCGTGTCTACAGTTTGGTATGCATCCTCTCGTGTACTCAAAGACTTTAGCGTTGAGGGTTTAGGGCTCGCGGCTTAGTGATTCCTAGGGTCTATGGTGTAGGGTTTTCTCTTGCCAATGCTTTTAGTGTTTAAAGTTCATTGTTAGGGGTTGGGCTTGCTGCCGGCATTCTGTTGTTTTGTCTAGCCGTTCGTGTCTAGCGTATAAGGTTTAAGGTCATTTAGGGCTTTGTTAACCCCTGTCAAAAGCCTCCGCCCTAGGATTTCCTAAGATTTCCTAGGTTTACTAAGGTTTAGTAGGGTTCACTGTGGTTTACTACGGTTAGCTATCTTTAAGGGTTTAGGGGTTTTTGTGCCGCAGGCGTGCTGTGCGTTCGTTTTTCTGTGCTGCTGAAGACAACAGCCCTTTAATATTTCAAATGGGGTCTTCTAATGAGGCAGCAACAGCAGCAACAGAATTATGCCTCCCGCAAGGAAAGCGAAAGGCAGTTGTATTTATGAAAGGCCAGCAAGTAACAGATATTACTCTTGTGAGATGAAATCCTGCTGCTGCTTGTCTTGCTGGTGCTGGTGCTGCTGCTGCTGCTGCCGGTGGTTATTGCAATGCGCTTGTGGTGCTGCCGCTACTAATGATGGGTTTCTGGTGCTGGTCACGTGCTGCTGCTGCTGCCAATGGTGCTGGAACTGTTGCTGTTGCTGCTGCTGCTGCAGCTAGTTCAGGTGCGTGTGTTGTGACGTTGTTTCTGCTGTTCTTGCTTCTGTTGCTGCTGCCACTGTTTCTTACCATTATTGTTTATGAAGTGTGAATAAACGAAGATCTAGGGTTTAGGGTTTCTGAAGCAATCGTCGAGGGGCAGAAAAGGGTTTTCCCTGCATATGTTGCACAGGAGAATGTTAATTCAACTGTCTCAGTTACTGAGATCTCTCTAAGCTTATTGGAAGCTGCAACCCCACTTTTGAAAGATATTTACTTCCCAGCGCTCAGCCAAAAGAGCAAAGAAGTACAAACACTGGATGCATGCACGCTTGCATGCACACGTGCATTCATACACCGGCCGCTGTAGCAATAATAGCACCAGCACCAGCAACAGCAACAGCAACAAAAGTAGAAACAGAAACACAGAAGCAACAGCAGCAACAGCTGCATCAAAACCAGCAGCAACAACAGCAGCAACCTTAGCAACAGCACCATCAGGAGGGTCAACAGTCTGGGCGCATGCGCATACATTAACAATAAGACCAATTATATTGTATCCCATTACCCTTATGTAACAAAATGGATAAATTGTTTGTTTATCACCGCAGGATATGTCTTCTTCTTGCTCGCCCTTGCGCGGGGAAGTGCTGCAAAAGTTTTGTGCCTTTCTTTTGAAGTTGCAAGCAGCAACGGGTGCAGTCAGTGGCCGCTGCGTCCTGCCAGCTCCTTATGATACGACGCCAACTGCAGCAGCCGCAGCGGCAGCAGCAGCAGGAGCAACAGGTGCAGCAGGAGCAGAAGCAGCAGCAGCAGCAGCAGCAGCAGTAGCAGTTACTAGTGCTGAGAGAAGCAGAGTATACGAAGAGGCTCTTCTTTTATGGGGGGCACAAATCAAAGCAACTCTTCAGCAAACTTCAACGCAGGCAATTGCAGCAGGCAAGAAGGCAAAAGGCGTTTCTTTCCTTCCTGTATTTGTTCTTCTTGTCTCTTCCTTATTTATTTCTTTGGTTTTTTCCTTCCTTCTTGCTTGTTATGTTGTTTGTTGTTTGTTGAACTTTGCGTCCCTGTTGGCTTGTGTGTTCGTTTGTTTGTTTCTGTCCTTCTGTCTTTCTTTGTTTCCTCCTTTCTTTGCTTGCTTGCTGGTGTGTTTGTTAGCTTGCCTGCTTCTTTGTTTCTTCCTGTGTTCCTTCCTTTCTTCATTTGTCTTATGTTTGTGTGTTTCTTTTGTTTGTTTGCGTGCTTATTTGTTTATTTGTCCTATTGTGTGTGGGATTGTCTGTGGATTGTTTCCTCCATTTTGTTTGCATTTGGTTGCTGCCTTCTCCTTTTTCTACCCTATGTTTACTGCTTGTATACTTTATCTGTATTTGCTTTTGCCTTTTTTGTTTTAAATTGTTTCGTCTTTTTGTTTGTTTATTTGTGCATTTACAGCAATCGTGTTTTCGTTCAGTTTGCTTGTTTGTTTTCGGCGCGTTTTAATATATGCATGAGCATGTATGCATGAATGGGCTAAGCGCTGTCTGGCAGCAACATGTTGCCGCTGCCGCAGTTGCTATTGCTGTCGCCATCGCTGCTGCTCTGTCTACTGCTGCTATCCTGACAACGTCCTCTCCCCCTTCCCCTGTAGCAAATGCTGCTTCTGCTTGCGGCGTTTCTGCCGCCTTTACTCCTCCTACTACTGCTGCCTTCACTGCTACTGCTACTGCTGCTGCAGTACCTCCTACCCCCGCTCCCCTCCCCCATGCTGCCTTCACCCCTGCTGCTGCTGCTGCTGCGCGCAGGGGGAAATGCCGATGCAAACGAAGAGATTGACTTTTGGGTGGAGAGAGCAGCAGCTCTGGCATTCGTCACTCAGCAGTTGCAGCAGCAGCACGTCCAGCATGTTTTAGCTTTCCTGCAGCAGCAAAACAGCAGCTACTTTCCTGCTTTTGTCAAACTTATTAGCGAGCTCGATGCTGCTAAAGCAGAGGCACAAGAAAACGCAAAGTACCTGTCGGTGCTGCAACCATGGTAGGATCCAAGTGTCTCTTTTCTAGTCTCTTATTCCTAATGTCTCCTTTCAAGTGTTTCCTTTCCAGTGTCTACTTCCCTATTTGCTTTTTTGTTTGCTTGCTTTGTGTGTCTATTTGTTTGTTTATTTGCTTGTTTGTCTGTTTGGCTTGTCGCTCCGCCTGTCTGCCTTTCTGTTTATCACCCAATCTTTCTGCTCGTTTGTTTGTCAGCTTGCTTGCTTGTGCGTTTATTGTTTATTTGTCCGCTTGTTTACTGGAGAACAATGGCTGCAACAGCAACCGCGGCGGTGCACTTGCTGCTACAGCATGTGATTGCCGCACTTCAACGGTCTCTGACATTTCTCCCTTGCTGTCTGCGTACCCATGCATGCGTGCATGCATGGGTGCATGCATGCAGGGTAAAGAAACTGGCGGACGATACAGCTGAGCTGTCTGTAGCAGCAGAAGCTCTGCCTCCTCTATTCGAATTGCTGCTGCTGACTTGGCTGCATAGCAAGGCCTTCATTAAACCTGCAAGACTCATCATGCTGATGCGAGGCATCTGCAATGCAGTGATAAAGCAGTGCATGCGCTTTGTGTCAGGTACAGAGGTGTTTAAGCTGCTGCAGCAGGAAGAGGCAAAAGAAGCGGCAGATAAACTCACTGTCGCCCTAGAAGTGAGGAACAGCCAGGGAGACATATACTCCAACATCACCAAATGCAGCAGCAAATGCAAGGGCAGCTGCAGTAAAAGCTACACCAACAGCAGTATCAGCAGCGGCTGCTACTGCCGCTGTTGATGCTTATGCTGCAGCTGGTGCTGTCCCTGCATCGATGGATCTCGCTGCGGAAACCGTTGCTGCTGCGTTCGATGTTGCTGCTGCAGCTCAAGGGTGTGTTATGCTGCAGGTGTGCGACTCGGTGAAGAGCCTATATGAGAACTACGCAGAACAGGCAGCAGCTGCAGGGAGGCCGTTTAACTTGAAGACAGAAGTTGTTTTTCTGCGTCTGGACACCTATAGAGGAAGAAATGCAGCTCTCACCTCCGTCGCCAACACAGCCCAACAATTTGCGAAACTCGAAAAAATCGAAATCTGTGGATCCAAAGGTAATCCGCAGGGAGCGTAGATTCAGATTTAGGGTCTACAATGTTGGGCTGGGGCGTATCCTTTGTATTTCGTCATTGTGGCAGTTCTGCTTTGCTCTATGTGAGACTATACTGCGTATTTAATTATGTGCAATATTTGGGATTTAGGCCTTATGGTTTAGGGTTTGTTGTTTTGCGCTGCTAGGCAGTCAGCTGTCTGCAAATGTGCAGCGCTTGCATGCTGAGTTCAAATCATTGATGGAAGAATTTCAGCAGATTAATTTCGATCCTCTTTCTGTCGAAGCAAAAGACGCAGACACACACTTTCAACTCTTCCGGTACGGGAGCTCCTCTTAGCTTATTATCCCCTTTTAATTTGCATGCACGCATGCTTCTTTGCTGTTGCATGTATGCATGCAAACATGCACACCCCTATACATGCATGTGTGCGCGCATGCACGCATGTATATCAACACCCATGAGGACGTATGTGTTTCAGCACTCGGGTGAAGGATTTGGAGCAGCGTTTGGCTGCTGTTTTTTCGATGAGCTTTGTCGATAGTTCTTCTTTATTATCGCGCTTACGTTTATTTGAAAGTTTTGCCCCTTTATTGGGACGGCCAGGGCTACAAGAGGCAGCAGCGTGGCACCACCCGCAGCTGCTGCAACAGCTTAAAGAAGAAGTGCAAACTGTACATGCAATCTTCTTGAGCGGCTGTGAAGACGACAGCAGCAGCAGCACAAGCACCAGCAGCAGCAACAACAGCTGCTGCTGCAGCAGCAGCAGCACCTTCATCTACATCAACAGACCGCCTATTGCCAAGGCCCTCAGCTGGGCTGCAGCTCTCCTTAATCGCATTAAAGAGCCTCTCGAGCGCATGCAGAAACTTGGGATTATCATTAATGCATCTAATTCTGAGCTCGAGCCAGTCGTCAAACAATGCAATGGGGTGGTCGCAGCCATAGAACAATTCCAAGAAAAAATCGTAAGCAATGCACCATACATCCATGCATGCATGCATGCATTCGTGGGTATGCTGAGGTCGTGCGTGCATGCACACGTGAATATATGCATGTGGCGCGCTCCTGCATCCATGCAGGCATCTATGCGTGCGTGCATGCATAGATGAGTGAATGGAAATAATGGACGGTCTCACGAGAGCATCCACTGCTTGCACGCTCCATGCCATGATCCATGCATCATGGCAAGCAAATCTTAGGAAAACAATTTTGAAAAGTGGTGCCCCATTCACCAACAGTACTCATCATGATGTGATGCCTCGAGTTTCCTTTTTTATTTAAGGTGTACAATGTAATGGGGGTGATCAAGCCCGTCGGTCTAGGGTTTAAATTTTGGAATTTGAGTTTTGAACACAGCGTAGCGAGTGGAGCGAACGCGAGGTGGAGCCTTCAACGTCTAAGTTGGGGCTGGTGCTGCTGCGGCGTTCTGAGGACTTGCTGCTGCATGCAAACTTCCACCCACAACTAAAACAGCTGCTTAAAGAAGTGAGGTACATGCAGCTTCAGGGACTGCCTGTGCCACCAGCAGCCAAAGCAGTCCACGCAAAGGCTGAGGTGTACAGACAGCAGGTCACAGACCTGCAGACTGTCTGCCTCAAATACAACAGAGTAAGCAACAAAAAATACGCCGTACACTCCCCACAAGTCTGCCTGCATGAGTTCGTGGAAGCACTGCAACAGCAACAGAAGCAGCAGCAAACACCGTTGCATAGCATGAACCGCATCAAAAACCGTAGCGCATTGGAGCATTCAGCAAACGCGCAAGACACCACACCAGCAGGAGCGACGACAGCAACAGCAGGAACAGCAGGAACAGCAGGAACAGCAGGAACAGCAGCAGTAAATTGAGTCTGTGTGCGTGTAGGTGTTGACGGGTCTGCTACCTAACCAGCGGCCTCTGCTTGCGGATCGCTTGGCGGAGATCGACAAAATTTTGGAGCCTGGGCTGACGACTTTAAGTTGGGAGTCTGAAGGAGTGGAGGAGTTTATTGCTGCTGCTGCTGCTGCCGTTGCTGATGCATTTACTGTCTGCGACGCAATCACAAACAACCTTCAGATGTCATTCAGTAAGATAGGTTACCTCTACTTTCTGCTAGCCTAGTTGAGCCCCGTATGCCAATGCATGGGCCTTGGTTAAGTCTTGTATGCACGTCAGTCGCATACACGCAAGTTGCGTGCATTCATGTTGCAAGCACACCGTTACTAGGTGTAGAGAGAAAGCAATGCTGTGGTGCCTCTTCATCAGGTTGCCCATTAGCCATTCTGTTCGTGCCCCTTTATCTCTTTTCCTCTTGTTTTCCTTCTTTTATTTGTGCATTTATTTTCTTTCTTCTTTCTGAGCTGCTCCACCACTAGGAGCTTTCCTTGCTTTCGAGCCACTTGGTGTCCTCCGCGAAAAAGCCAACAAAATAGATTCCAGGCTTTGTACCTGCAAGCACACGGTTCGCGCATGCGGTGACAACGTTACACACAAGCGCATGCGCATGCGCATACAGATCTTGAATTCTTTGGGATGTACTTAAGCCTGTGTTCGTGGCTGCAGACCTGCTGAACAGCTGGAGCGAGAAGCCGCTGTTCGAACGGAAGCCAAAACCAATGGCAGTAGAAGACGCAGACCAACTCGTTAGAGCTGCCATTGCAAACAGAATCCACAACATTTCCGAAGAAGGAAAAGATCTCCACAAAAAGCTGAAAGACTCTGCAGACGCGCTTAAAGCCACTAAAGGTGCACACAATATTTCACACATAACCAGACATTCTTGGGGCCCGTATGCAGGCAGCTTGCATGCATCCATAACACGCATCCACCTCACGCAGTGACTCCAAACCCTAGAATAACCTCACTGTGTGTTAGGAAGCAAAGCCCAGGGTAATTATCCTTCAACCCCATGCACACACGGCAAACCCCAAACCCTAAGCCGTCTTTGTTGCAGGCATGAGTCAGTGGAGGGCGCATGCACACTTTGTCAGCGCGGTTGTTAGTGAGGGCTTTACTGCTGTGGCAGTCGGCTCGCTCGAGCAGCTGGTCAAGGCTTTAGAAGCCAGTAAACTCCAAACTCCCAACGCTAACCGCTGAACCTGAGATTCTAAGGCCACAACCCCAAACACTAGTCTCTCTACCAAACGTCAAGTCTTCAATAATTAGCCCGTTTTGTTTTTTTCCGTTATGCTGCTTTCTGAAGGCTGCTGCGTCCAGCCGTACTTATCAGGTTCTGTTGCGCTGTTCATACAGCGTTTGTTCCTGTCTCTCCTTTTGTTTATTATTTTGCCGTCTCGTTTTGCTTCCTCTATTGCTTTTCTGGGTTCGCTCGGTTGTTGTTGCTTCTACTGCTGGTGTCTTTGTTGTAGTTGCTATTGCAGTCGTACGTATTATTGTTGTTGTTCCTGTGGCATCCTGTGAGACGCTCCTCATCAATATGGTGTTTGAGTTTTACTTTAAGTGTTTTGATTCTGTTTCTTTTGCTGCCTTTTGTGTCCCTTCTCCACACTGGAGGCAATTGTGTATATGTGTATTTTGTCGTGCGATCTCCTTGTTTTTTTCTTTTTGCTTAAGTTGGGTACGTGTCTTGCAATGTATTTGTTGTTTTTATTGTTGTCTTCTCTTTCTTGTGCCTTGCTCTGCTTTACCGACAGCTATGAGCCCCCGGCCTGAAGCGCCTCCCCTGTTCGAGGTGAAGTTGGAGCTTTTAGATAATGCCATTGATCTCGTGCCGCCTTTCAGAGATGAACACGGGTAATACTTGGGGCCTCGAGTTAAGGATTTGTGGTCTAGGGTTTGGGATTTAGGGTTCCGTGTCCCGCGCTTCGGGGGTGAATTAGGGTTTACGTTTGTTTTATCCTTCATTGGTGGCAGTTGCATTGCTTTCATGGTCGTCTCTAGGGTTTGTGATTTAGCGTTGCAGTTTAAGGTTTTGCACATCTGCATGTGTTTGATGTTAAGTGATGAAGGCGATTTAGGTGTAAACACATTTATTTCCTTGTTGTTCCAGAGTAGCATACATAGTATAAATTTGGTTTGGCTAGTTCTTCTTTCCTAATTTCATTATAAAGGCACATAGCCAGAAGATAGACAGCTGCTTTTCTTTGCTACAGATGCACAGATACGTACACTTGTTGGCAGCTATACAAGTGTTATCAGCGCATGCAAGAGGATAGCCTCGAAGTGATTGAGTGTCAAGTAATTAATCATATAGCACATAGAAGAGATAGTATTGCATTAATCAATTCACCGATCCATAAAGACTATAATTGAATAAGTAATTGATTGGCTAATGCCATGCTCTCTCTTCTGTAATCACAGAGGGATCTGCAGAGTTGTTGAGGGTTGGGTCGGAGATATCCTCAAAAGCGCCGCAACGACAACTCGACTGGACTCTGGAAAAGGGGACTATGTTGCGGACGTCAAGGAGTCTTTCAGCTTCATGGTAAGAACTAGAATTTTGAGTTTATTGTTTGGAGTATAGGTAGGGCGACCCGTGCACATCATGGATAAGTTCCCATTCGCAGTAGTCGTATTTGCTTCGATTGTTCCTGACAGTGCGCAGGAGAATATACTATAGATGCTGCTCTTTCTCCTGCTGCTGCGTCTGCCGCCCTCGCTGCTGCTGCTGCTGGTGCTGCTGTACGTGGTGTATGGGTTTCATTGACGGTCTGTTTGTTGCAGCTATCCTTTATGTGTCTTCTCTTTCTGCCATCAGGCAGGACGCGCTCGTCTGACGGAGTTGCTGGAAGAGACTGAATCGCGAGTAAACAAGTACTTGGCGGAGACGCGCCGCTTTGAATTCCTGTGGAAAAGAGACCCTGCCACGGATCTCGAAAGCTTTATTGCAGAATCCCCTCCAGAAGTCTTCCCTTCAACTGCCGAAGAAGGCGACTCCCTGGAAAATGTTTTGGAGCTGGTCGGCGTCGACATTGGCAGAAGGGTAAGCACCTCCCGCGAGCTGGCTAGCTGACTAGCCAGCTACGAAGTTAGTCAGAGAAAGCGGGAGAGGAGTCAGCAGCAAGCTAGACAACTAGCTGCCAAGTTAGCAAGCTGTGTCCTGATATGACGTGCCGGCAAGTGAAACCCGGCTCGCTAGCCAGCTTGAAGCCTCTTCCGGCGGTAGCTAGCTAGCTGGGCAGTAATATGGCTAGCCATCTATGCAGCTCTCTATAGGTGCAACATGCTGGCTCCCTGGCTGCATGCATGCCGGCATGCGTATCTAGCTAGCTGCTTTTCTAGTTTGTCAGCTACGGGCTGGGTGGGTAGCCAGCGTCGTAGCTGTCTAGCTATCCAGCTAGCTTCTCACGCAGCCAGCTGATTTGCTGGTACTTCTGCTGGTGGTGGTGGTTGTTGTGCCCCTATTTTTCTTGCAGATTCCTGAGCTGGTATGCTTCGACGAGAAGATATCTTTTTTTGAGGGTTTACGATCTGAAATAGCGGAGTTAAAAACTCCAGTGGATGTATGTTGGCTGCGCATCAACGCGCAGCCTGCAAAAATACAACTGAGTCATTTGGCCGCCTCTTGGGCATCCCACTATACCGACTTCCTGTTGAATTGCTGCCTAGCCCGCGCAGACGCTCTAACGCAGTTTGTAAATCGTATGGACGCCTGCCTTTCTGTGAAGCCCCCCACAGCAGAGGATGAAGAAGAAGCAGAAGCGACAGAAGAAGGAGAACGCGCAGCAACAGCTTCTGCTGCTGCTTCACATGGCAGCAGCAGCGCCAGTGGAGATAAAACCGGACCGGAACAGCAGCAACCAGAAACAGAAAAAGAGGACGAAAAGGACAAAATCGATAAAGACACGCTCTACAAATTCATGACTTACATTCGAGACGTTAAAATTGCTAACGATCCTATTAAGCGGCTCCTTGGACCTGTGCATGAACAGGTGCGCCAACCTTTTACCCTAAACTCTAACACCCTAAACTCTAGGCTAGGACCGAGTTGTTTCAACTGAAGCAGAGTTCATTTTCAAAGCCCAATAACAAAACAAGGGCCTTCAAGAGACAATAGCCAGCGTTGGTTGGGCAGATACTGTGGCGAAGAGCTGTGCTGCTTAGCGTTTTACTACTCGAGACGATGTTATGCTACTGTCTGTATTGTGTTGGATGATACAGTCGTGCGTGTTTTATTTGGTGAAGCTCATGAATGTTTTTTGTTCAGTGATGCTCCTGCAAGTGTTTTGTTCAATGGTGCCATTGTAGCCTCATTGCTTAGCGATGCTCTTATATGTACCTCGTCTACCAAAGCCATTCTTGTGTTTTATGCGTTGAGTTTACTATTCTAGTTATATGTTTTCTCCAGTGATTCTATTTTGTGTGCTTTTTTCAGCATATATGTGTCATGCGCAATACTGCCACTCTATATACATGTGCATGTCCATATTTGTATATACATATTTGCAGGTTGCTTTATTGAAGAAACATGGGTGTTTGGTTCCTGAATCTCGTTTGCAAGCATTAGACGCGGCTCCCTCGAAGTGGGAAGAGGTGATAAGAAAGGCATTTGAAGCCAAGGAGGCAATTCTGCCTCTTCAGAACGCTGAAGTGCAAAACATCAAGGCAGCTTTAGACAGCTTCAGCAGCGAGGTGAAGGAATTCAGAGAAGCGTTTTTGCAAATACCCCCCTTCGATGCAAGGACAGAACCGGAAAACGCCTACAAAGCAATCGACGATTTCTACTTCAAGTGCCTTAGCCTCGAACAACATGCTAGAGAACTTAACAACCTTGAAACCCTCTTTGATATCGCCAAGTCGCAGCACAAAGAACTCAAGGATTCTAAAGAAGAACTCAAGACACTCAAGGCAAGCAAACTGTACACAAGCTTGCAAACTCACGCAAATCACCACAGCACCAACCAGACTCGTACGAGTACTAGAGCAACAGGCATGCACGTTTGCTTTTTCTATATATCGAAAAAACAGGACAGTGCCACAGTTTTCGCTAATGAGAATGCAGAGTGGAGGGGCTCACTTCTTGCTCTTCTGAAACACCGCAATAATATGTGTTAGGGCAAATGTCTGTTAATGCGCATGCAACGGCTATCGTTCGTTTCACTGTCGTCTGCCACAGGATTCTTTTCTTGTACTTATTTTGTGTTTTCTTTGCTGGATTTTGTCCCTTTGGAGGCAGCACCCTGCATGCACGAACAGACACACCAACTTGCTGAAAAACAGATCGTCTACGTATACGCCGATTCGCTGTGTCCACATGGTGCTCGGCTTGATTTTTCTTTTAGTTCCTTAGCATGAACTCATTTTATTCAAGTCCATTTGTTTGTTTCTTCAGTTCGTGCGATTGGGTCCACTTAGATCCTACTATTCTTGTTTGTTTCTTTATTTGTTTGATTTTTGTATCGGCTTCATTCTTTTCTCCGTCTATGCAGGAGGCGTGGGATCTCAATGTATACGTCAGCAGTTGGTTCGAGGCCTGGAAGGCCACGCTGTGGGAGACAATCGACACGGACTTGCTTCTGCAGCACGTCAAGTCGATGCAGCAGCACATTAGAAGCCTCTCGAAAGAGATCAAGAGCACAAAAGTATACGTGGTAAGGACCCCGAACTTGTGAATTTTTCTTTAAACCATTAAGCAGAAGCGAACCGAGTTGCTCCTGCTGTTTGCGCTGTTGGTGTTCTTCATACCCACGAATAAAGCATATAGAGCAACAGCGCATCTAAGATCCGTTAATATTTCTGTCAAAAGTAGGAATAGCGCATGTATAGGCAGAGCCGCTTATAAAGAGAACTTGGTATACGTGAAGAAGTGGAAGCAAATGATTGCAAGGCGATACAGGCATCACTGAAGATGCAGCAACCAGCATACAAACTGACGTATCAAACAGAACCAGCGACAATGAATAAAGCAGAGCATACAAAATAATGCATACGCAGGCGTGCAGTTAGGCAATTAGATGGGTGACGAGAAGCTAATTAGCTGCATTTCTCAAAAAGAAGCAACAAAAGGATTAGCAAGGCAACGCAACCAAGCAAGCAAACACTCACTCACCATACTGCATTTATCGACAGAGCAAACACGTGGAAAGCCATCAATGTGCTGCGTTGATTCTGCCAATCAGGCTGTTCTTGAGAGAGTCAACAATATGCAAGTCGTGTTGCCTCTTGTCGCTGAACTCCACTCCGAGTTTATGAGGGACAGACACTGGAAGCAACTCATGAGTATTGCAGGGCAAACATTCACAATAGGTTCGCCACTTATTGGAAGATCTAAGCCATTGCATAGTTTGCCTTTTGCGTGTTTGTTTGCTTGTTTGGTAGGTTGGCTGTGTAATTGGTGGGTCGTTTCCCCTTATTGCTTTTTTTTTGCTTGTTTCGTTCCTGATGAGTTGATGTGCTGATTTCTTGGCCTCTTAGTATGTTGGCTCCCTGATATGACAATCGCGGTTTGGTATTTTAATCGATTTGTTGGCACGTTGATCGATTAGCTGATATGGACATTGGGCTTTTGCCATGGTAATCAATTAGTTGGCACGTATATTGATGTATTAACAAGCGCATCGACTTCGGGTTATGTTATGCGAATTGTTCATATGCTTCTTGGGTTTCTATACGTGAGTTGCTTTATTCGCGTGCCACCTGACTTCTTGTCGTTTGTATATGTGCCTTGTGGAATTCCTCAGGCCCTGGTTTCTGTCTCGAAGACCTGTTGAGGTTGAATCTGCATGAGCGCGCAGCGGACGTTTCTGAAATAGTTGTCTGTGCTCAGAAGGAAGCTCGCATCGACAAAAAGTTGAGAGAAATAACAAAAACATGGGCAGACAAGACGGTCGAATTCTCGTTAGAACGCGAAGAAACGCCTCTGCTGCAGCCTCTGGACGATATCGTTGAAATTCTTGAACAGCATTCTGTTGATCTCATGACAATGACGAGCCAAGGAGCTGTCATCGACTTCTGCAGAAATGCGGTCGAAGAATGGCAAGCGAAGCTTAGAACTGTTGACACTGTCCTCACAGTGTGGATGGAAGTACAACGCAAGTGGGAGGTGCGCATCCTGCTGCTTCTGCTGCTAGGGCTGTTGTTGAAGCTGCTGCTGCCGCTGCCGTGGCTGCTGCTGCTGCATCTTTGTGTGTTGCTGCTCCCGCTGTTCCTGCTGCTGTTGGATTCGCTCCTCTCGATGCCGCTACTGCTGCTGCTGCACTGGCAACGGGTTTGGCCTCGACGCTAGTTGCGATTCATGCTTCTCTAGCCGTTGATTGTGCACTTTTGACAATTTTCGCCCGTTCTGCTGTTGACACAGTTGTTCCTGCGGTCTCCAATTCGCCAGTTTTGCTGCTACTGCGTGTGCTGCTGGTTCTGCTGCTGCGACACCTGCTGCTGTTTGTGCTGCTGCTGCATGATGGTGACTATTTATCTACCCCTTCGCTGTTGTCTTCCACTTCTTTGCAGCGCTTGCAACCCATCTTCATGCACTCTGAAGACATTCGCTCTCAGCTGCCTCAGGAGTCGAAGCGATTTGAATGTGCAGACGGCGAGTGGCGAGATATGATGTATGCAGCCCAAGCCCACCCCAATGTGGTGGAGGCCTGCCAAGCTGAAGGCAGAGAAGAACTCCTCAACAAACTCAGAGACAACATCGAGTCCTGCGAAAAGGCACTTGGAGGCATGCTCAACCCACTAACTTTAAACCCTGAAAACACTTAAAAGCACTTCAACCGCCATACATTTAATCTGAATCATAAACAACATTTACAGGCCATTGGAAAACCCTAAACCAGCAACACAAAACCACAAAGAAGCACAAAGCGGATAGTAAAAGTGCGAATGTCAAGCAGCGGCGGCAATAAGAACAGAATCAATAGCAGCAGCAGGAAAAACAGGAACATCATAAGCACATGTAGAGACTAACGAGTAACGTCGTAAACTCACCTGCATCCACTGCATATGCCGGACCTCTTCGGATGTGTACTACTGTTTGTGCGACTCGCCAGTTCAGTTAATAGCGTGTATTTCCATGCCCTCCGTCTGCTCGATCTTGCTCGATCTGGACGAACGAATGCTCCCAATATCCGGGTGTATGGTTAACGTTTTAGGGCTTAGGGTGTATGTTGCATGTTTCAGATTATTTGGAGCAGAAGAAGAAGGCGTTTGCGCGCTTTTACTTCGTTTCTAATCAGGCTTTGTTGGATATCTTGGCAAACGGCAACGACCCTCTGAAGGTCTCGTATTATTTAGGAGATTGTTTCGACGGCGTTGCGACCTTGAACTTCGAGAAAAACTTGCAAACGTACCGCATCGCCAGTGGCATGTCGTCTAAAGAGGGGGAGTATGTTCCTTTTGGTGAAGATTACATCATTGAAGGGCCGGTTGAGACTGTGAGTTCCTTACTGTCCCCTCACGCGATCTTCAGGGTCTAGGGTCTAGTGTTTAGGGCTTGGCTTTAGGGTTGGTTTCGCCTCCCCTCGGTGCTTGTATCTGCTGCTATGGTGATATTGTGCAAACGGATTTTGCTTCTGTTTTATATATTCCGTTGATTAACTGTCTGGTGAAGGCAGTCTCATTTACGGGGCACTGAATTGCCAGTGCTTCGCCTCCTCTTCAGTTTATGCCGTAGTTCTGAAGCGGTTGTGACTTGATAGTCGTGTGCTCACAATTTTGCTTCATTCACCGCACCTCGTAAAATATTAGAAACCTACGTACGCACAATGAACTGTAGGGCTATCCTTGCTTAAGCTGTTGTTGTCTTCCTTTCACAGCGTCTGTCATGTGCTTCTTTGCATTCAAACTAACATTTCATGCTTGAATCGAACGCAATTCAAGTTCTCAAGCTACTGCCCTTCAGAACGACATAGTTCATAGTTGATGGAACTCAATTGCTCCCCTTAACGCAATCCCGTTACTGTTAGATGTGGCACATTGTAATAGTACTTTATATAGCAGTGTAATAGCCTACGATGTTTTGTGCTTGCTTGACTTTCAGTATCTATCCAACTTTGAAGTTCACATGCGCAAACAGATGCGCGACATCCTGGAGGTAGCTAAAGGCACCTCGGAGAATTGGGAGGTTGAAAAACCAAGGTAGGAGGTACACTATACACTTTTAACTAGCTTTCGACGCCAAGGGGTGCTGTATGTGGCCTACTCTCTTGTTTGTTCCCATCAGCATCATCAAATTCAGTGTTATATGCCTCGTTGTCCCCTTTTCTTCGGTTTCAACCACTGCGTGACACTTCTCGTGTCCAATTGTTTTGCGCTCTCTCATCCACATCTGGAAATGCTGCTTTACTTGCTTAGTTGTCAACTTTTCCCCAACTTAAGTACTATTTTTAACTTACAGTGATTTCTTTTGCACTCACCAGCTGCTGCTAGTTGCTTGGTTGTCCTCTGTTATTAGTTTCCCTTTCATAATTTGTTGTGATACGTATTTTTCTGCACTTTCCTCTCCCTGTTTAATGCCTCGTAATCGCTTGTTTCGTTCCATGTTTTTTTCCTTGCCATTGAGATTGGGTTGCACATTTTCATCTGTCAGTGTCTACTGTTATCTCGTACTATTTTTCCTGCTGTTGCCTTTTCGAGTGTTCCATCGCATGGCTGCCCACGCTGCTGAAGTCAGCAATCGGTGCATTGAGCCTGCCCAAGTGCATAGCTGCGAATACGCCTGCCCAGCAAACTTGCCAGAACTGCTACCACAGCAAGTAGCTATCTGGGTGTTATTCGAACCGTCCCTGCTAGCTAGCTGCCCGTCTGAAGCCAGTCTAGCTAGGTAACCAGCAACAAACCTGCCTCGCTGCACACCTAGTTGCTTGTGTGTGGAGTCTGCCTCATTTGAAGTCCGCATGTTTTGTCGCTTGATGCAGGGAGGAGTGGCTAAGGGATTACTGCAGCCAAGTGTGTTTGGTGGCGAGCCAAATAATGTGGACAGAAGAGGTGGCCCGCTGCTTCGAGGAGCTGGAGGGCGGGTCTGAAAATGCAATGAAAGACTACAAGAAAGTTTATGATGATAGGATCGACAAACTTATTCGCCAAGTTCAGCAAGACCTAAGCAAAAACCTCCGGACCAAAATCATCACCCTTATCACCATTGACGTACACCTTAGGGATGTCGTAGAAAGCTTCATCACCAAAAAAATCACAGAAGGTAAGGTTCACACTGACTGCAGCAACTTCTGCGGTAACAACAGCAGGAAGAACAGCAACAACACATACAGCAGGAAGATGAGCAACAAAAGCAGCAAGAGCTTCCTGAGCAGTAACTGAGGATGCTCAGACATCCCGAGGCCCAGCTCAGGCCCAAGCGCAAAGACGAGAGCAACAACTGCAGCCATAGTGGTAGCATCTGCAACAGCAACCATCACCTTAGGCGAATAGTACCGAAAACACTAACAACGGCAACACCTGTGCTGCTTTTCGCTTTCTAATGCCCTGTGATCTCTTGCGTTGTACTCTCTCGTATTGAACACCTTATTTTGTAACATTACGTTACCTTATCTTGGCAGAATATTATGTCTTCTCTTGTTGTCCTTTTCATTTGGTCATGCTGTTGTGTTGTACGTCGCATTATGTTGCCCTATGCCATACTGCACTTCTCGCAGCACGATGAGGTACTAACACAATTGTAATGCAACATAAAAACATAGCGGAGAAATATAATAAACACAGTAATACTCAATACAATATACTGTGAGGGTCCTATTTGGCAGCAGTAAAGCAACATAATTAACACAGAAAAAAGTATGTTATGCTCTGAATGTTCTATTCCCGTTGGCTGAATTCACCCGAAATTGCAGCGTAAGAAGGCCTTCACGTTATTCTCGTGTTGGGTTGGCGACTGAGGGTTAAGGTTTTTGCATGTTGTTTGCGTTGCAGCCTCCTCCTTTCAGTGGCAGTCTCAATTGCGTTTCTACTGGAGGCAGAAATCCGGGGACACGAAGAAAGACTGCATCATAAAGATCTGCGACTGGACGACGACATACATGCACGAGTTCGTGGGCAACTGCGGACGTCTGGTGATAACACCCCTGACAGATCGCTGTTACATTACTCTTACGCAGGCGTTGAACTTGACGATGGGGGGGGCCCCTGCTGGGCCTGCAGGCACTGGCAAGACGGAGACAACGAAAGACTTGAGTCGAGCGATTGGTCTTCCGGTTTTTGTCTTTAACTGTTCCGATCAAATGAACTACTTGTCGATGGCGCAGATATTTATGGGTCTTGCGCAATCGGGGGCCTGGGGATGCTTTGACGAGTTCAATCGCATTTCTATTGAAGTGCTCTCCGTTGTCTCCACCCAAGTCAAATGCATTTTAGATGCGATTAAGGATGGAAAAAAGAAATTCCAATTTATGGACGATGAAATCAACCTCATACACACCTGTGGCATGTTCATCACTATGAACCCAGGATACGCAGGACGCACAGAACTGCCAGAAAACCTCAAGGCCCTCTTCAGGTATTCTATAGGCAATAGCCCGTTAGCGTTTGCAACTAGGCATACCTTTTATGTGTCAGTGCATACATTTATTGAGCCCTTTGCCTGCAGATACCGATATATCGATGCTGTTATGTATGAGTGTACGGTGTTTACTTCTGTCTTCAAATGTATGCACGTTAACAATTCATATGCGTTGAGTGTACATGCGCCGTATATATATATATATATATATATATA